AAATATACTACTCCGTACTACTTCATTGATCATTCAAAGAATCGAAGGAGCAACAACTTTAGGGGCATTTTTGCCCGTTTTCCCCATAGTAAATGGTAATCCGTATCATTTTACTATCCTATACGTAGTAATATTTACTCCTTATATAACATCTAAATAAAAACCCTATAATTGTGAATGAGAGTTAGTATCCCTTATTTATGTCAATGCATTATATGCACAAAGAGTTGTACATTGTTCTAAAAAAAGTGGGACTTCACTTCTCACATGGACTTAAATAGCCTTAACGTCGTCAAAACCTAAATTCCTTTAACTATCTCAATCTAATATACGGAGTATTAGTACAATATTACTCCATGTCTCCATAGCTTGATGTAATAATTCAGCCGAGATAGTAGGGCAATAGAAAGAATCCAGATGGCCCTAATTCATTAGGACAAGTCTTTCAACGCCACTCAACCCTCTCATTTTCAAACACAAATTGAAGTTTTTTTTGCAAGACAAATTGAAGTCTTAAAGCATACATAAGATATAAAAGTCCACAATTACGATGCTAAGTTTAGAGCAGTCTATTTCATTTCAAAACTAATTTATACGAAGTACTTCGCATTACAGATATATGCTCTATAGAACTAAACCGTACATAATTAATATTATAAGCATTTTAAAATTTGTCACGTTTAAGCACCTTAAATTTCACCTTCTAAATATGGAATATACCAAACAATGAGTTATCCTATATTTGACAATAATGTATCTTGAGTTGGTTGATAACTACACGACTCTTTTCATTATATTAGTTGTAGGCTTTCCGGCACAATTATACCTCAAATACATCATTACGATACCTATTTTAATACATTATCATTACTTGAAGTATTGGGCAGGGACTGTCGCGCCTTGCGCGACCAAATGCTAGTTCAAATATAAAGTAAAATACTTAAAAAGCACTTCTAACATTTTATAATAAGTGTACTTTTTCATTTTCTTTATTATAGCATGTTATATATTTAAATATTTACTATTTAAAGAAATTCTTATGAAAATATTTTATAGAGGTACAAAATAGATACTCCATAAAACAATATTATTGATTCAAATATGTTTAAAACTATATTCTAGAATATGATGAACACATAAATACACTGAATTTTAAATATTAAAAAACGAATAATAATTCTTATTCAACGCTATATTCAAATATTTTAGAACTAAAACAAATATCCAAAAAAAATTGGACATAAAAAGTTGCTAACTAAGGATGTTTTTACTTGGACTGTAATTTGCCCCAGACCAGACCAGTCCAGACCAGACCAAACCAGTCCAGACCAGACCAGACCAGACCAGATCAGACCAGACCAGACCAGCAAATTACAGTCCAAGTAAAAACATCCTAAGTATAATTATTATTTTATCATACTCAAGAATTTGTTTAAGTATATTAATATATATGTTTATTACTAAAAAAAATTATATAAGAGTTGACCGGGTTTTCCGGCGTTGACCGGGTTGACCCGCCGGGTCCGGGTCGACCCGTGACCCAATCGTTTGTCCGGGTCACCTTCCGGTCCGGTTTTTACAACATAGATGATGATGATGATGATGATGATGATGATGATGATGATGATGATGATCATCATCATCATCATTATTATTACTATTACTATTACTATTATTATTACTATTTCTATTACTATTACTATTATTATTACTACTACTATTATTATTAGTAGTAGTAGTAGTAGTAATATTATTAAACATGTCCTTAACACAATTCCCCAACATATTCTTGCTGTTGACAATTCCCCAATGTCAACTACAATGTCAACATGGAGAAAAACTTACTAAGGTGCTGTTCTGTTCGTCTTATTCTTATTACTTATTACTTATTCTTATTTTATTCAGATCAGATCAGATCAGAAAAATTCAGATCAGATCAGATCAGATCAGAAAAATTCAGATCAGATCAGATCAGATCAGAAAGATTCAGATCAGATCAGAAAGATTCAGATCAGAAAGATTCAGATCAGATCAGAAAGATTCAGATCAGATCAGATCAGATCAGAAACATTCAGATCAGATCAGAAACATTCAGATCAGATCAGATCAGAAAAGTTCAAACATGATTTATCACTTTTATTATTATATTAATTATTATTATTATTATTATTATTGTTATTACTATTATGATGATTATTATTATATAATTATTATTAATAATATTAATAATAATATGATAAAAAATAAGATATTAATAATAGTTATAATATTTTAATATAATAATAGTAATATAAATGCAATTATTAAGAAGACTATTATTATTATTATTACAATATAATAATAATATGATTAATATTATTTTAATATTATATTATAATCATATGTAATTATAATTATAATTACAATTAAAATTCTTATAATTATAAGTATAATCAATTATAATTATTATAATTATATCTATAATTAATTATAATTATAATTGTAATTAGTTATAATTATAATAATTATAATTACAATCATAATTATACTTATGATTACAATTATAACTATAATATAATATTATAATAATATAATACTAATTATAATAATAATAATAATATTATTATTATATTATTGTAATAATAATATTAATATAGTAATATCGTTATAATAATATTAATTGCATTTATATTACTATTATTATATTATAATATTATAATTAATGTTAATATAATTATAATTATTATTAATTATAATTATAATAATTATAATTATACTTATAATTATATTATAATTATAATTTATGATTATAAATATTATTTTTATTATAATTATTAATATTATTATTATTACTATTGTAATTATTTTACGGAGTAATTATAATAACATTGATAACTATAGTTACAATTATAGAGATAAATATTGTAATTATAATTACAATTATAATTATATAAGTAATTATAAATAAAAATATAATTACAATTATAATTATATCTATATTTATAATTAGTGTAATAGGTATAAATTTTTTCATTTTAAATTTAATTTTAATTATTATTATTATTATTATTATTATTATTATTATTATTATAGTTACGATTATGATTATAATTTTATTTAAATTATATTTGTAATTGCAATTATAATTATTACAATAGAAATAATAGAAATAATAGAAATAATAATAATTATAATTATAATTATAATAGAAATATTCAAATCAGATCAGATCAGAAAGATTCAGATCAGATCAGAAGGATTCAGATCAGATCAGAAACATTCAGATCAGATCAGACCAGATCAGAAACATTCAGATCAGATCAGAAAGATTCAGATCAGATCAGATCAGATCAGAAAGATTCAGATCAGATCAGATCAGAAAAATTCAGATCAGATCAGAAAAATTCAGATCAGATCAGATCAGAACTTAAAAAATTCAGAACAGAAACATTCAGATCAGGCGAAGAGAACATCTTCTAAATCTGTATAAAATCATTAAAATAAGAAGAGAAAGAATTTATTTACTAATATTTATGTAGTTATCTCTCATGCCACGTGTGCATCGTGCACATTATACCATTGGAGATGCTCTAAATAGAGCTTCACCAATCGACTTCCATGTGGCAACGTCCTTTATGTAAAAAAATGACATGTGGCAAAATAATAAATTAAAGAAAAAGCTATTCAAATTCAACTTCCATAACTCTACTCTTATGTATTCCAATATTATAGATATGTTTTTATATTAATATATGTGTATATATTTGTTATAACGTTCAATATAAAATTAAGTAACATTTTGCACTCGCCGGTATTACAAGATCCAAATAGTCAAAAATAAAAATAAGTAACAATTTTTAGCCACTCTTAAAATAAAAAATATTATTTCTATTTCTTTTCCATAAACTCTTGGAGATTCTCCCTTATTCAGGGTTTTTTATAAATTGTTTCTTATTTGTTTCCAAAATATGATAATTATTACATTCTTCGTCTCATTAATTTTCTCCGACATATCATTTTTCTTTCGTTCACTAAGTTTGTGTAGTTCCGAATATTATAATGCATATGTAGTTCTAAATCATTCTTACATTAAGTTCCTACTTTTCATTTTAACATTAGTTAGATAAACTCTTTTTTAATAGTTGCACATGTCTCAATCTTAATGGGACAAATTTGATGTTAATTACTTATCTACTCAGTATTTAATAATTCACAAGGTCTGTCAAATCAATCTCTAAAGGTAGATTCATTTTTTTTGTCACATATTTATTTATATTTCACAATTTATGTTCACATTGTTAAATGGGTTTGCACTCCCCAATTTCATAGCTTGGATGGTCTAAGTGCGTAATGAACTCAAAATGCACATTATGTTTAATAGGGATGCACAATACACTTATAGTTTAAGTAATTCAGACTTTAAAAGGATAGGAAAGGTTGATTTTTTACAAAAATGTCACAACATTTTTAGTTTATTATAGCCCAAATTTCTATTTCAAATGATACACAATTTTCAAATCTAACATTTCAATTCATTCCAATTCACTTTTTACACGTTAAGGTGTATTCTCATTTGAACTCAACCTTATTTATACTCCGTGATACACAATTTTCAAATCTAACGTACTGGTACATATATAGAAATAATGCTAGAGTAATTTATTTGAATAATTATTATATATAGAAATAATAGTTCAACAAGGGTTGTTAATTAATAAGTAGATTTGAAAATTATTTGGGTAGAAAAACATCAATATTGAAGATAATAAAAGTAAAAAATAGATGTTTACAATTTTGTTGATTCGCAACGTACATGGGTCAACTCACTTAACCTGCTACCCGTGCAAGTTGCACCACGAAACCAGTGAGTTCATACGATTGAAGAATGACAACTCTAACCCACCGTGAAGTGAGATGAAATGGGCTAGCCATGCGGACTTAAACTAATTTTGACAGCTTTGTCCAAAGTAAATTGAATTTTCTTTTAAATACTAATTGATGAATTCATGTCAATTCATTTTCCCGACAATTTTAATAAAAACTTTACACACATATTTTCCCGTACGGTGCACGGGTACACATACTAGTTATAAATAAATATAAGACCTGAATTCAACATGATTACTGGAATCAGATGTGTTCTACGGATTAGCTGATTTGATGAACAAAGAAGAAACCAAAACACAAAGGCAATAAAAATCACACATTGTTTGCCCCAAGTTGGCCAGTTCCTCAGAAGACTACTCGGGGCTCTGCAAAAGTCCAAGCCTTCTTTTTTTTCAATGTTTCAAGAGATACATAATACAACCCAGATCAAGCCTATTTTTTAAAATAAAGATGCAACCCTATTTGAGTTACCGACCCAAAAATTCTCTAATATGGCTAGATGTACAGTCTCCAATATTATATAAAAGCGCATCTGGATAGTGTGAATTCACTCAATTCCGGGATTAATGGGATCGCCAAGACTTGCAGTTTCAAGGACGAGCATACGGTGTGATTCTCGGGAATGAGAGAACTCTGCGGAGTCGAGTGTCTAAACTCTAAACAAATGACACCAAAGTGTTACAAATGTTTCAATTGTTTCCATTTTGTTTTAGAAACCTATAGTATAAGGTACAATGTATCTCCCACCCCACAAAATTTTCACCAGACCTCAAGCACAAACGAGTCTCATAACTTACTTGGTTTGCTCGTCTACTTCCTGCTGCGGTTGCCTTGGAACAACTCATTTATTCGAGCTTCAAGCTCCTCCACAGTATACCTGACATGCTTGTCGGCAGCAGCATGCTTCCCATAATCTGGAGTGCTATATAGCCTTCCAATGAAGTTTCTATATGCAGGAGAAAGAGTCTCCGCCACAGAAATCCTCAACTCCTCTCTCAATTGTTCGTCGAAAACCACCCATGATGTTTGGGCTTTACATATGTCCTCAAAGTAGGAATTGAATAACTTAAGCTTCTCCTTCAAAGTCTTTGATGCTTGACTTGGTGACATGGAGCTGTCTATCTTCAAAACTCCTTGTACTTTGTTCCATGAACTTCTTTTGTAATTCACATGATACTGTCTAACTTTAGCTGTGTGTTTTCTGATCCAATCGTCTCCCAAAAGTGTCCCTAGTTCACTGTCTTTTGCCTTCTGATTAATGTATCTCCCATTGTTCATCAAGAAAATGGATGACAGAGCAGAGTCTCTGTATATTTTTGACTTCGCCTCCAAGTTACTCTCCAGTAATTCCATAATCCACACCATTTGAACTGCCAATGACGAGGAAGATGAAGGTGATGACAAGTCGAGAGAACTAGTAGGCGGGGTTAGGGTTTCTTCGAAGACTTGTTCAAGGGTAAGCCTTGACCTGCAAGCTGCCCGGAGATAGTTCATAACATATCGTGTGATTGGGTGGAGACCACCGCCAGGTACAGCAGACTTTGCCGGATCGCGGCGGATCAGATTCTCCAACTCCATGAAGATCCTCTTGATTGATTCTCCCAACCTCTTCCAGATGGTGAATGCTTCATTTCTCATGAACAGACAGTACTGGTCAGAGAACAGCAATTCGAACTCCGGCAACAGATCTCTTAGGGTTTCGTAAACATCCAGTACCTTGAAGAGTCTTTCCGGTGCTCTGCTGCCGATCGCCACTGCATCTGCGAAGTTGAGGAGTTGAATGGCGGCGCCCCTGCAGACCTCCATGAAGGATAGGTCAGCTGCAGAGGAAAAGCCAAAGAAGACGCGATCGCAGAGGCGGCGTTCGCTGGGGAAGAGAATCCGAAGGGAAACGTTGACGGCTTTCATCCACCTCTCGATCTCATCTTCGAGCTCCGTCCACTGCATTTTCTGCACTTCATCAATGCTCAGCTTCTTTATACCCAGCCTGGCAAGGCTCTCCTCTAAGAAGTCCCTCCGGCAAGTGCTATACGCGTGGGAGCACTCCTTCCCGTACCCTGCGGCCACCATCCGCTTCGCGATCTCGTGCAGATCGCTGATAGTCCCCGCCGGCAAGGCGTCTATGATTATGTCGAAGTCAGAAATCGGATGCGCCACCGGGATCTCCCCGTCTTCATCATCATCAGCTTCCTCCGATTCCGACGAGTAATCCTCGTTCGCGGACTCACGGGTCCTGTAACGGGTCAAATCAAACGACTCCGACCCGCGTTCCATTAGGGTTTTGAACTCGTCCTCGAGACGGAACATCGCCTGCTGGAGCAAATCCTCCGCCCGATCCAAGCAGGACGAAACCTGCTTCTCGTTCCCCATCGGCGTCCATTCGCGAATCGCAGAGATCAAGTGATCCACAGCTTCCAGAAACGCGACGGAATCCGCAGAATCGGACCAAACCGGATGCTCCACCGACACGTAGCGCGAGATCTGCCGATCCAGAGACTTGAGGGTCCGCTCCAGTGCGGCGCAGCCGCGGGAGTCGTCCTCGGTGAGCTTCTCCCTCAATCGGCCATCGAAGTTGGAGAAAATCTGAAGAATATCATCAGTCATGGTATCAGTGTGACCCAGAGTCTTCGCTATGTGCCTGGCCACCGCTATCAGCTTCTCCTCGCCGTTTTCAGCCATACCCACCAAGGCAAAACAAAAAAGACAGGTTTTTCAGAATTGGGTTTTCGAGATTTGGTTATTCGCGGAAGCAAGCTCAAGACTAGCTAGCTAGGAAAGCTCTTTCTGGGCAGAAATGAAAAAGCTAGGAAGGAGGGGGAAAGAGACTGTGGGTGGGCGGGCCCACGCGTGAGACATCGGGAAACGCGGTTTCTGCAAAAGACAAGAAGTCTTCTTGCCTGTTGGGAAATTTACAGAGCTGTGAGAAGAAAAGTAAAAGCGAGAGAAGGAAGGAACGGGTAAAGAAACGCGACAGGCGGACAAAGCCGGCGAAAGTGTTGGACTGGAGAGTGGGTTGTGGGTAAGAGAGACGAATCTAATGGATAGGCAACCAGATTTACGGACTCAGTTCATGTGAAAGAATCACGACTGCCAAAACTTACTCGCTTTTGATAAATTTAGGGAGTGTTTGCAATTGCTTCAACTTTAAAAAAGTGATTTTTTTAAAGTGATTTTGGGAAAAGTGATTAATAGTAAAAGTTGGTAGTGTTTGAGAAAAAAGTGATTTTGGAAAAATAAAAGTTGGTAGTGTTTGATAAAATAAGTACTTTTTGTGTAATAGAAAAAGTGAGAAGCAGTTTAAAGCACCCTTCTACCTGCTTCCAGCTTTTAGCTTTTAATTGATTAATTTAAGCAGAAGCTGTCATTTGAAAACACTATTTTCAACTTTTTTTAAACCAAAAGCTGAAAAGTGCTTTTTTTAAGCAAACCCAAACACTCCTTTAAATATATTAAACATAATTATTAATAATTCAATATTTTTGGCAGAAAGATTTTAGAGTTTAAGTCAGGTGATGAGAAGTCTGGTATGTTTGTCATTGGCTAAGTTAAGTCCGTTATAAGATCAACGAATCTTATTGCTTTTACAAATGTGATAGATTCTAAGTCCGGTTCAAGGGCGGACGGCAGACATAGGATTTTTTATCGTTTTGTTTCCTTCTTTTTCTTTGATTGTATTATCAGTCATGTGACGAACGTTTTGTTGATTTAATATATTTGTTGGTTTGACGATTAAAAAAAACTCAATATGATTTAACCAAGTAATACGGAGTATAATTGAATGTGTTTAACCACAAAAATAGAGAGGTCGTTTGGCGGCACTGTTTTTTGGCTTATCAGACAACTTTTTCACCAAACACATAACTTTTGCTTTCGCGTGCTGAATTGTGTAATAAGCTAAAAAAGTAAGGTTGGAGTTACTTTTCTGGCTGTATTGGTTGAAGTTACTGTAGATGACCATTTTAGCTATTTTTACATATAATTTTTTCTTTATTTTATTCATAATTTTTTTTAAAAATTAGCAGAATTTGCCAATGCAGCCACTTCAGCCAGAACTTCATAAATTTCAGCAGAATCAGCCAAATCAGCCGATTTTGGTGCTACCAAACGGGCTCAGAATATGAATGTGTAATTGATGCTACTTCCGTTCTTTAAACAATAATTAAATAATGTAATTTGAGTATATTTTAACAAATAATTTTAATATGTATGTAATATAATGGGGTTAGTATTGATAATTGTAATGTTATAAATATATCTTTTTAATATTTAATGATTAAATTGTCATTAGATTATTAATTATTTCCTAAAATAGAATTGAAAACTTTTATATGAGACGTCCAAAAAACAAAAGTGAAACCTTTTTATGGAATAAACGGAGTAATTTGAAACCAAAATTGAATCAAATAATTACGAATCAGTCCAATGTTTTACATGAAGTTTCGATCTTTTTGTAGTTCAATTTAATTTGATTAGAGTTTGATTTGTTTGGATTCGGTTATTGGTATTTATAATGAACTTTTCTATGTGTCATTGACAAAAGTTGTAAATAAAGAATTTTTCTACATCAAAACGTGAATCACATAGATCTTGTTACCAAAGAATTTTCAGAAATAGTGAATGGTGCTGATCGTGAAACTCAAGAGATTGCATTGTCTAACTTATTTATCTGATTTCATGTTGACCGTTTTGAATTTTCTCATAATGCCTTTAGAAGATTGTGGACCATATTTTTCCATAATGTATTTCACATGAAACCAGGGGCGGACCTTAGTAGAGATCCAGGGGCAGTGGCCCCTCCAACAATTTTTTTAGTGTATATATATACCAAAAAATAATTTTCACCCTCCCCAAATTTTTTTTTAAGCTACCGCCCTCCCAAGATAAACTTCTTGGGTCCGCCCCTGCATGAAACTTGATTAGTTACGTTTGGAATCGGTCACAATAACATACGGAGTATGATTGGATAATGAACAGAAAATCATGATTATGAGTTAAGTGGTGGTTCGAATAAAATTGTTATTCATCCAAAATTTTGAACTATAATTCTCTTTTTTCATTCCCAGATCCATTTTGAATTACTCCCTATTTCTTCTCTAAAATAATACTACGTACATTCTTCCGTTCTTTATTATCGGTCATTCTAGCCTTGGACACATTTTAAGAGAAAAATAATAGGGTAAGTATAGAGTGTGTAGGGTAAATGATAAACTAGGAAAGAAAGTATATTAAAAAGAGTAAAGTAGTGATAAAGTATGAACAAGAGTATATTAAGTAGAGTAAAGTGAACAAGGGGAGAGAGGAGCGGCAAGGGAAACCCGCCAAATCTATATTCCCCGCCATCATCGTTAGGGTGTTCTTGTGTGCTAGTAAGAGGTTTGTATTGGCTTCTTTATCAATCATGAATCAGGATTTCTTCAGCATCGATATAGAGGCTGATCGCCCCCCTCCTGAATCACCGCCGATCCAGGAAGATGACATTGGATGAATTGCTTTCTTTCCGGTGGTTGGTCAAACCGGAACAATTTTTGCACTTGACTCCTTACCGGTGGCTGGAAAAACCGGCAAGTTCAATAATTCCTTTTCGGTGGTTGGTCAAGCCGAACCCATTTCGAGTAGCATGACTGCATGAGCAGATACAATGCAGTACGAGTCTATATTGTTGCAGGGTTAGTGAACATGAGTGCTTTTATACGGCGTTTTTATTCTTTGTCTCACCCTAGTGTAGTATTAAACGCTATGATTGTAATGCTTCGACTTTTAGTTGTTATGTTTCTTGTTAAGATCTGATTATCAATAAAATGGTTATTTGATTTTCAAAAAAAAAGTAGAGTAAAGTGATGATAAAGTAGGAAAAAGAAAGTACTCTGTATTTTGTAAAAAGTAAGAGGGGTAAAAGTAATAAAAGTGAAGGTATTTTTAGGGATGGCAACGGGGCGGGTTTGGGGCGGGGGTTCACTCCCCCATCCCCGCCCCATGTCTAAAAAGTTCCCCCCATCTCCGCCCCATGTCTAAAAAGTTCCCCCCATCCCCGCCCCATCCCCCGTCACTCTCATCCCCGCCCCATCCCCGCCCCACCCCGCTGTCCCCCACGGGTGCCCACGGGTGCCCCTATATATATTTTAATTATCTTAATTGTGTATTTTTTTAATCCATTTTATAGATAAATAAATATATATAGCACTGAAAGAGTTAAATTAAACTAGATAATATTGTGTTCGATAAAAAATGATACTGCCAATTTTTAATAATTCTTTAATTTGAATATGTGCTGTGAAAATAATAAAATTACAAATATAAGTAAACATATTACCATCATGCATGTCGTTCCAAATTTCTCATCAATTATACTATAATTAATTATATATTATACATATGTGTGTGCAGTGTGTGTGTTCTATTTACTTAGTTTCTCACTTTTAAAATTCATATATCATTTATGATAAATATTTTTAGTCATTACTTATATATGATTCTAATATAATACTTACTAGTATTAATTCATTAATAATCATGACTAATACATATACATGTATGCATGTCTATAAGTATGTGTATGTGTTTGTTATATAGTACATATAATTTAATTAAATACTCCGTATGTTTATATATTATTAATATATATGTATATATGTTTGAGTATATATTTATAACGGGTACGGGGCGGGGACGGGGCGGGTGTAGTAATCCCCATCCCCTGCCCCATATTTTAGCGAGGTAGAAATATCTCACCCATCCCCGCCCCCGTCCCACCCTAAGCCCCGCCCCATTCTTCCCCCACGGGGCGGTTCCCCACGAGTCCCCGCCCCCATTGCCATCCTTAGGTATTTTATTAAAAACTTTCCTTAAATAGAAAGAATAACATTTAATAAAAAAGGAGGGAGTACTGATATAAGAAGTTACGCTTGAATGGTGTAAAACTGACTTTTCACCACACATTAAAGTATGTATGGAATACGAACTTCTAAGTGGCTGCAATAGCAAGCCACGTTTTTTTCTCAAGATGGACAAATATATGCAGTACAATCTTCATTGCATCTCAGAGATTTGGATTTATAAGATTATTTCAGCACATTTCTACGTTAATTAAACAATAAAAGATCAACAACCAATGAGTAGAAATGTGATATTGTGCTTTAGAAATTAGAAGTGGGTCAATAAAGTGTCAATTTAATTCTACTAAATTTTTACTTGGATTGAATTTGTTGGTCTGGTCTTGTCTGGTCTATTTAAGTCTAATCTGGTCTATTCAATGTTTGGTCTATTTAAGTCTGATCTAGACTGTTTGAGTAATCGATCGCCCATCAAACAAGTTCTATCTTTGTGATTTAGCTTGTACATTCAATTAAGGGATAGCCGGATAGCCATTGATTATTTTATTCTTCTGCAATTTAAACTCTTGAACTCCAATGATTTTGGGTCCGGCTAGTGGGTGTAGTGTTAGGATCGGTCGGAAGATTGGGAATCCGGTCCAGAGGTAAACTAGAACCGGTACCATGAGTTTCAATTACCCGGTCCCGGGGTGCCCAAAGTTGGATTGTCACCAGTCGGTTCAAGTTCATCAAGTCCCAATAGCTTGTATGACTATTTTTCTCTCTTGGAGCCAGAGGCACTTTGGAATCAATAGCCCCCAACTAGCTTTTTTTCCTATTGGCTAGGCATCCCCAATGGCTCTTTGGAGCAAATCAGCCCCCAAATGGCTCTTTTGATCATTGGTCTAGAAAGTGGGGGAGGGGGCCAATTTTAACAATTGCGGTTGAACAAGAGTTCAATAGTGTCGTCGAAGCCTTACTACTTATTTTAACAATTGCAGTTGAACAAGAGTTCAATAGTGTCGACAAAGCCTTACTACTGATTATACAACACAATTGAGTCTTCAATCACTTGAAACACGTGTGTGTTTCCATGATTAGCTAAAGACTAAAAGTCTTACTCAAGAACGAAACGTCACACCAACGCATATCTCATCAAAGAAACGACAAGAAATGTGAGAAGTGAAAGTTCAAACGAATAGAGGTTAATTAGATTATTAATTATTTCCCCTATTGCATTGTACAATAAAAATTAAAGATATGCGTTGACTTCCATAACAAAGATGAGAGAATTGAATAGAGCTGGGACTTTGGAACCAAGAACCGGAGAACCGAACCGGACCGAACCGTTATGACCCGGTTTGGTTCGGTTCCAACATTTATTAGTTATTTTTTAACGGTTCGGTTCCTATTTTTTATTAATGGTTCGGTTCTCGGTTCCTGAAAAAAATATGTACTAGGAACCGTTAAGGAACCGTTATATATAATAATTAAAATTATATATATTTCTTATAAGTATATATATTTTTATGTATATTTACTTACTTATTTTTATATTACATTCATTATTTTAGTTTAGTTATTCAACTATTTAAAACTATTATTCACTTCAACCGGTTCTCTTAGGCTTCTTAGGCCTCTCATTAGGTCAGAACTCCAACAGGTCGGAACTTTGAAGGTCCAAAGTATTTAAAATTATTATTCTATTTAACTGTTTAAGCATATTTGTATCGTAATTTCAAACGTAGAATGTCTTTTTGGCAAAAATTTAGTCATGATTTGTAAGATTTTTTTGAAAGACTAGGAACCGTTAAATGACAAGAACCGAACCGTTAAGAACGGTTCGGTTCCTTATCGGTTCTATAAAATAATTTATAAGAACCGAACCGTTAATAAAATTTCTTATTTTCAAACGGTTCCACATATTTGGCCTAGGAACCGAACCGGTCCCAGGCCTAGAATTGAAGATAAAATGATAAATACGAATATAAAAGAGTAGTAGTATAGAATGTAAAATTTATAAAGAAAGATGAAATAATTATATAGTTTTACTTTGAAAATGAGAAGGATAATGATATTTATAGTTCTTTCACCAACCCCACCCAGCCTCAATGATCAAAAGAGCAATTCTAGGCTAATTGGCTCCAATAGTTGTTGGCGATCGGACCGAGACTGGAACCAACTGGTCTAGTTCAGAGTCCCAAAATTGGTTAAACGGATCCGAGTATTACAAACTAGGGCCATAGGGGTACCAATTCCGAACTACCCTTGGGACCAAAAAACCAGTCTTCTAACCTGTCCAATGACTTCCGCCCGCCGGGTCAATTCCAATCCAGGACCAGTGACTAGTCCACCCCTAGTTACGTCCCTCAAATTGGCATAAAAGAAAATTTATTTTTAAATTGTTTATTTGGCTAAATTGATTTATAAATTATAAATTGTATGAAAGAAATTGATTAAATGTTGGAAAATTTGTCAATTTGATCCTCGTACAATCGTACTATCACGAAAATGTCAATTAGTTACACGAATAAGGGGTTGTTTGGGTCTGATTCTCAAAACTGATTTTGCTCCTTCAAGGAGCAGAAACAGAAGCTGGAGTGTTTGAGTGAAATTCCAAAAGCACTTCTGGTGCTCTAATTTACTCCCAGAATCAGTTTTTTTAAAAGTTGGGGGGGTACCAGCTTCTGAAAATTGATTCTGATTCTGTTTCTGCTTTAAAAAAGAAGCAGAAGCAGAATCAGTTCCAAACACCCACTAATTAGTTACACTTTTTAAAAATCAATCAATCCCCAAACTTTGAAAAAATGTTCAAGTAAGTCAATTAGCAAATTATTTGCTCTGTCAACAAGTCACCCATTAACATGGCGCACACGTGGCGGTCCACATGTGCAGTTGTGCACCACAACATCAGAAAATGGTTGAGTGGGCTTCCACGTGTGCACCACATCCGCAAAGTCACTATTGATTGGGTTGTCACATCAACATGTGACTTGCTAACATAGCAGGTAATCTAGTAATGGACTCAAGTAAACATTTTTTAAAAGTTCAAGGAATTGATTGATTCTTTTAAAAGTACGAGGACTCAATTAACATTTTCGTGATATTACGAGGACCAAATTAATAGTTTTACCTCCAATATTTCATCGAAAACTTACATCAATCTCCTAAACAAAAACTGACAGAAAGAACATGGCCACATGGGTATGACAAAACAAAAACTAATAGAAAGAACATGGGTATGACAAGAATAAAATCTACGATTTGACTAAAAAAGCATCAGCTTCGGGCAATTTGTCAAATAAAAAGCAACTCGAATACTAAGGCATAAAACTAGGTTTACAACAGAATGATAACAAATGGCCACAAGTCAGGTGTGAAATTACTCCGAAATAAAACAAGGTTTACAACTCAAATCCAGTAAAATAGGATCAGCATTCAAACAAAATCGAACATGAACCACCGCAGACAAGAGATACCACACTGCATGTGTCATGTGTGTACTGTAGAAGCACATAACAGAAACCGAAGTTTGCAAACAATTATATTATGAAGTGAGATACAACCAAAACTTGAACATAAAAGAAATGCCTACTATTTGAGTATAGATAAAGAGTTGTGAACTGCACATGATTTCAAGAACCTAACTAGTGTTGTCAGCTCGCTGGCAAAGGAGCTATTGACCTCCCATCATCTGTCAACAAGTGGATCTAATAGTTTAAGTGTAATATCCAGGAAAAAACATCTGAAATAAGTTAAGGGCCTGTTTGGTAATGGCTACAATGGCTGAAAAGACTGAAAAGACTGAAATGGCTGAATCTGCTGAAGTAAAAGCGTTTGGTAATATGTCGGCTGAAATGGCTGATTAAACGTAAAATGACCACAAAGGGTATTAAGCTGTTATATATGCTACGACCCGCTCTTACAACTGCTATACATCCTTTTTCATGAAAAACTCAACATCTATATTAATATATTAGTGAAATATGGCCAAATTTTATATAGCCCACTTATGAGATTTTTCCAATATTCCCAAAATCGGAAGTCATTTTAGAACTGAAGTCACTCCAAATTAAGCAAAAGTGCAAAACTATTCTCAACATTATTCTTGGTTCTTTAAATGACCTATTTTCACCTTTTACCAAATTTCTACGTACAAAGATGGGTTCCTAAGCAGTAAGCACGAAGATGTACTCCAGGAAAAGTACGTATAATACAAGGGTTGAAAGGTCTTTGCAATCAGCAACGTTCAAATAATAAAAATAAGCTGAAAAAGTAACACTTAGAGCCCGTTTGGAGAACTCTGTTTTCGGCTTATCAGGCTTATCAGCCAGCTTTTTCACCAAACACGTAACTTTTACTTTCGCGCGCTGAATTGTGTAATAAGCCGAAAAAGTAAGGTTGGAGTTACTTTTCTGGCTGTATTGGCTGAAGTTACTGTAGAGCTATGTAGCACCGATACCGGTACGCGGAAACGCGGAAACGCGGAAACGGGTACGGGGATACGTCAAAACAAAAAAAAGTAGGATACGGATACGGGGCCATATTTATAAATATTAAAAGTTATGGGGGTGTATTTACAAATATTAAAAGTTATAGGGGTCTATTTATAAATATTAAAAATAGATTTTCTTTTGAAAGTATACACACACACACACACACACACACACACATATAATATCCTATGATGTCTACCCATTCATTGCATTGAAGCATTTTCATTTTTCAAGATACTTAGTAATAAATTCATAATATTTCTCATATACACTAGTGCATTTCGAAATATAAATATAGTCAATAAGTCATTAATTTAAAATGAGAAATAAGTCAAACAACTACAATCTTGAAATTAAAAGTGCAAGTACCCAATTCGGAGTATGAGTTAATGACTTATTCGGATATAGCCATATAGGTCCATTATTTGATTACCAAGTAAAATGTAGTTTTAGATTTTCATTTTTTTTTAGAATTTTATTAAGTAAATTTTGGGATTTTTTTTTAAAAAAAGTTGATACGGGTATCCGTTAGGATACGAGTATCGGAAACTTTCAAAAAATTACAAAAAAAAATGGAAACTTTTAAAAATTGCAGATACGGCCCGGGAACGTACGGTACGGGTATCCTAGAGTATCGGATACGGGAACGTATCGGATACGCCGATACGCTACCCTAGGGAAGTATCCGTGCTTCATAGCTGTAGAGGACCATTTTAGCTATTTTTACATATAATTTTTTCTTTAATTTATTAATAAAATATATTTTTAAATTTTTTTTTTCTTAAATCAGCAGAATCAGCCAAAACAGCCACTCCAGCCAGAATATCATAAATTTCAGCAGAATCAGCCAAAACAGCCGATTTTGGTGCTACCAAACGGGCTCTTAGCTTGCTTTTTGAGCTGATAAGAAAAATCAGCCAAAGTAGCCAATTAGATAGGTGTTTGGTAATTTTTTTTGCACTTTCAGGCTTAACAGCCCATTTCTTATGCTCCAAACGGCCTCTAAATATGATTTTTTTAGGTATCCAACAACTAAAGGAAAAAAGAATGAATCGTGACTTTTCGAAACTTCGAGGATGTAGTACAATTATTTATCTAGGTGAGAAGTGCAACTTTTAGCGAACGAATCCTACTGCATTTTCAATTTATTTGTTGGATGAACTTAACTAATCAAGTTGATTTGTTCTTGAGCTAATGCATATTTACAAGAAAAGGGTTTATGGGTAATATCTTTCTAAGGAAAAAATGAAGTTTTTGGAAAGAATTCTTCTTTTCCCTCTTGGAATGGAGAAATCCGAAATTTCACCATTGGACTAAACAAGAACGTTACCTTGAAGAAATCTCCAAACATTCCCTGCAGTGGGCTTTGGCGTTGTACTCCATAAAAAACTTCTGCTATTTCATCTAACAACTACACGACCAAACATGGAATCAAACTAATGAAGAAAGAATAAATGCAAGCATGATCTCACCAATTGAAATTTTCCATCACAATTGCTGTATTATGTGTTACTGTATTACTCGATTGATTGGATAATCTCATATTCATTAATCTTAACTTTTTCGAAAAACTATGAACGCCTCAGCTTCTGAATGTGTCCTGAAGAAAATTTAAATTTCTGAATAAGTGGAATATTGGAAACTCGATAAAAAATACTCCCTCCTTCCCAGAAAATTCTTTCCGGTTTGACTTGGATAAGAGTTTAACAAAGTGGGAATAAAGTAGAAATGTATGGGTGTGGTTGAGTAAGAAAAAGGTAAATGAATGTTAGCCACACAAAACTTTTCAAAAAGGGAAATGGGAATAATTTTTTGGAACCTACAAAAAGGGTAAGTGAGAAGAATTTTAAGGGACGGAGGGAGTATTTGATTTTATTCCACTTGTACACATATCCACCTACATTTATAATGACAATTAGAAAGAATGACACTATTTTAATACAGGAAAACAAATTATTATTCATTTTAGTATTATTTTGAACTGAGTTGCATAAATTTTTATATGAGCAATCCAATCAAAACGAGTCACACACCATTTCGACAAGAAAAAATGAGATAAAATTTAAATTCGTGACCCAGCCTAGGCTTGCTATTGCAAAACAAGTAATACTACAAACACACAACCTATAATGTTTTTGACAAGCAAGGATGGAAACAATCACAGATATGAGGGATTAGTTATATCTGTAAGTGTCCGTACACGTGTATGTCAGAACAAAAACAAAGGTGATGTGTATGGTGGTGTGTTTGCAGCAATTTTCTAGTGCTGATATCCTTCCGTATGAGAAAGCATTTGAAAGTAGGAAATAGAGCAGACCTCATTAAATGTTGGATCTCTATTTATACTAGGTTTGAAGCACTGCCTTAACCTATGAAACAGAGGCAATGCATCTCTCTGCAAGCTGCATTGAAAATCAAATGCATCAGCAACGCCTTATTCCCTCTTAAGATTCATTATGAAATGCCGAGATGAGGAGTTTGAGTGCATAAAACATTACATGAATGAAAATGAACAAATAGCAGGTTACATTACGAGCACCTAAGTTCCACCAATATATATACACATACATACAAGAGTACTATGCGATCAAAATGTAACATAAAGATTGAACTGGAAATTTGTAATCTTACAAGACTTAAATATACGGATGCATCTTAAATTCTTAATGTTGAAAAATGAATTATATATTTGCAAGAGGTTCAGAATAGACGTTGTGGACGATAAACTAAGGGAGAAACAAGTGTACTAGTTTGGGCATGTCATTTGTCAAGAAGTGGGTGCCCCGCTGTGGGGGTTGGGATCTTGGATTGTGGGACAATGAAGAGAAGTCTGATAGACTAAAAATGACTTGAACTAAATGCGAGGAGGGAAATCAACGCATTGGGTCTTAATGAGCATCCTCCAAGATCTCAAAACAAACTATTGCTATAAGGTGCTTGGAAGAGAATAATGCAAAAAATAGTCAACTTACGTCAAGAGAAGATAAGTGATGAACTGCATTAGTTCTGATTCAGGAAAGCCAAGCTCCTTAAGGTTAACTTGCTTCTTTAACTCATCAATAGTATAGTTGGCGTCTCGCAGATTACCCAGGCTCAAGTACCTAGTTGTAAGAATAATCCAATTTAATCAATCTTGATTGTATATAAATAGACCCACACACTCACTTTCACATATTCTGCATCTATAATCATATATATTCATGAGAAGTCATCAATACTAATTTAAGAAGGTGACGAATGGATTAATTGGAATATTTCTATTCAGAGTAAAACTAGTGGGTCCGAAACAATCTAAGAACTCCATGATCCATTAAAAACTTTTTCATGATTGCATCCTTTTTCTTATTAATTTACATGTATATAAATATTTCACCAATATATATGGATTCATTGTTTAGCATATCCATGACAAAGGGTATTGGGTAGAGAAATAAATCATGAATAAATGCGAAAAGATGGTTCAGACATTCGATAAATATAGAAAATATATCAGACCAATCCATTACATTAAGTGTTTAGCCATCAATACAATCTAGGTTTGAAATTACGTGTTTCTTAGTTGAGGAGGTATTTTCAGATTGCATATGCCTCATTGCGCAATGAGGCCAACACATATATATACAATAAAAAATCATTAGAAGTCAACATATGGAATATTAAAACAGATAATGATGGTGTCAGAATCCTAGCTAAATATGTTTGAACCGTATCAAAACAAAATTCCTAAATCCTAACATATAACAACTGTATGTTTATTAGATTGATGAATGAGAAATCAAATCATCATTATCTAGTGATTTGAAATAGGGATGAAGTGCATGAAAAGAGTTTCATAAGATAAAGTGCAGACTGACTAAAGTTGCAGAGGAGAAGAGGAAGGTTTAAGTCTATGAGTCGTGACTTTTTAGTTTATAATATACAAAAAGTGGGGTCTTTTTGTTAAGTGGACCCAAATAAAATAAACTTAAACCTGCTCCAAATTTGTGTGCGCCTCTATGCACCTCATTACATTGCGTGAAGAAAAAAAAAGCAATACCATTTATCGCCTCTTAAATAAGGCGCGCCTCATGGCGCAATTGCATTGCGCAAGTACAACCATGAATACAATACAAATGGAAGGACTAAACCAGTCCATTATCTGTAATCTAAAGATGCATTGGATGGAGTTGGAAATGCCTTCTGATGGATGATGGAAAATGGATTTTCTCGACACCCGTGTGCCTCTACTAGTCTCACTTACATAAATATGCGTGGCATTGCACAAGAACATATGACAACACTGCATAACTAGTTTTCCTGTTTGATATGGTACAACACAGAAGCAAAAAGATATATGACACCGCTGCTGCGCTGCATTATTAGTTTCACTGATAGAAGTGGAACATCACAAGCCCAAACTTATCGTTCATATCCAATCTAACATTCACTTTAAAGCAAAAACACACTTTAGTTGTTTTTAAAAGAACAAACATCATTTCTAATGTCACAGCTCATAAAGCTGGATATCAGAATTAATTCATTATAGGAAAAATATATATATAGAAATCAGCAGCAAAGAAATATTAGAAGTCCTATGAAAGTACCCTAAAAAGAAAACAGATATAATTGTAAATTTGACAATATATAGAAACAGATAGTCCTTAACAAGAACTCAGGTAGACCAGTACTAAACTCCTGCAATAGCTAATACCCAGACACTTATTTACATTCCAACTGTACTTACATTAAGACTGCCCTAGCAATAGCCAAATCATCTTCTCCAGGGTAACACTGCATATTGACCAATACAGCTCACACTTAGAAACCTTTGCGTTTCCCAGCTAACCTAGGCAACGAGTTTTTTTAATAGAGGAAAATGGAACCTAACCTTGCTCATAAAACTGATAAGAGTTGAGACGAACTTCTTTGGATTCTTCCCTCTGACAAAATGGAAGGATACTTTACCCATGTCCTAGGGACCAAAAACATATTAGATACCCAATAAGCATGAGGTATTAGTGTACCCTATACTGTACTTTGTATACTTCTCTATCTCCAGTGAAATATTAGTCGAAGAAATGAGAAGCATCTAACAGAAAATAATCATTATCATATGTGTGGAAATACAATCTTGCACACATAGGTATATATTAGGATGAGTTAAAAAAGAGGAAATGAAGCAGTACTAGACACACACCACCTCAGGGGACTCTGAGAATATATACTCAGCCAGCATGTCATGCAACTCAGGAGCTCCATACTTATGCGCTCCAAATTCTGAGGACCACCTGAATCATGAGGAAAGTCATTCACAATGTTACAGGAAAAACTCATTTCAATTTTGATATTAAAAAAACCACTGCATCAGAACTTTAATGAAGCAAAAAAAAATTTGTACTCAGAAGATGTACACTCACTTGATGACAGCTTTTAAAAAAGATGAGCAAGCTTCTACTCGTGTTTTTGCTGCAGTGAGGGCTTCTGCAACTTTTTGCATTTCATCATCATCAGCTAGGTCCAAATGTTGTGGCACCGTAACCTTAGGAAACTTCTTGTAGATTTTCCTGACTCGGTCTAAAGATTAAAATATGTCACAACAAAGTGCATAAATGAAAATACTTTTTGAAGTTCCAGTACGGCAGTACCTAAGATCTGATTTACAAATATATGAAATGCTTTAAAGACAACATTGGGAAGTCATTCCAGAGGGGTATTGTCAAAGTATAAGAAAAGTAGTGTCTTTATAAAGCTCCTTAAACTCTAGTATGTGAGATTTTCATCAATAAAGATAAGTTTGGCTAGGCCAGAAATAAAAGGGTGGCACATTACTCATTTACTCTAGAAAGGAGATTGATTTAAAGGAAAGTGTGACTGCAAGAGACACGTTTATAATAGACATACAATTTACTGTGGATATATATGAATGCACTATTTGTGAAGAACACATTTGTAGAGACTATTATTTTCTCCAACTGAAGGTTGATACTATTCAGCTGAAAATTGGGAAGTTTATCTTAGAATATTCCTCTATATGCCACTCTTTAAAAGAAGAATCTTGGTTTTATTGCAAGGCAGTTCCCTCCCTAGTCCCTATTTATTACAACTATCATAGCTGCCGCCATTGACTTTCAAAAATGCTACTATCCGCCCTTCCCCTCCTCCCTAGGAAGAACATTTTGAAAAGGACAAATCACATGCATAACACTTTTTCACACGGGAACCATACACTACACTTTTCACCAGTTGATAAAAATAAACTAAGATAAATTAGAGTAACCTGGCTTGAATTTGATAGGGAAGCGGCTGTACATAAAAAGGATGATAAATACTTTGGCCGAGTTTATTCTAGAAAGAGGAGGAGGAATATTTAGTTGATAGTTAGTTCTGTTATTAGCTATTAACTAATTGTCTGTCATAGGCTGAGAAGATATAAATAACCAAGTCTGGGAAGGGGAAGTCAGGCTGTTGGACAGTTGGTTGGACTGGCAAGATTAGAGATACTTTGTCTCTTCTCTTTGGGACTCGTTGTACTGGCTTTTCACCATTAATGAAGCTGGGGATTGTTTCTTGAAATCTATTTCATCTTTTCTGTAATTTTACATACCTGCTTGAGTTCTATCAGATTTGAATTATAAAGCAACACAATATACAACTACAAAGAAAGTGCAATGCAATAATGGGAATGTAAATATCAGCTTTAGCTTGTTTCGCTTGAAAAATTACTAACCAAGAGTGTCACCATCGTAAGATAATTTTCCTTTTACAAGGGTGTCCACGAACAAAACAGCAAGCTCTCCCCCACAAGTAACCTGCAAAATGAAGTAACCTGCAAAGTGAATTCATAATCCTGTGTAATTACTAGGGAAAATGTACTTGTGGTTGGGCCCGTTTTCAGATAGGGTCATGTGTTTCATTCTTTATCAAAGTGGTTCATGTGTTTGAATTCCGTTATCACAAGAGGGTCACACCGTTAAAAACGTTTGAAATAGACCGTTAAAAGTAACTCCGATTTTCAAAAGTGCCCGAAAAATTAAAAGAAAAATACCGGAAGGCGCGGCTCAATAAGACGACCGCTAAGTCATCTTTTCTTTTTTTTTTCAGCCACCCTTGTCACCGGAAAAGTGATATTAGCAAAATCATTTTAAAAAAATAATTCAAACAGATCTGAAAAATCCAAAGGCGAAGGTGGTTTGGAGGTCATCTTGACGAGGCACACCTTTAAGTATTTTTCTTATAATTTTCCAGGCACTTTTGAAAATCGGATAACAGTCTTTTTCAGACGTTTTTAACGGCTTGACCCTCTTGTGATAACGGAACTCAAACACATGAACCACTTTGATAAAGAATGAAACACATGACCCTATCTGAAAACGGGCCCAACCACAAGTACATTTTCCGTACTTTTCCTAATTACCAATCACAAAGAAAAAATAGCTTTAACCGAGAAAAGCATAACCTGATCATTTTCCAATTGCGCACAAGCACCAAACTGAAGAAGATCTAAGGCATCAGAAAACCTCTCAGCAGACACATATCTAGCACCCACCAGGAAATTTTGGAAAACCAAGTTGTGTTTAATATAAAACCTAAGGGTAACTAGTAGTGTTAAGTCTACAGAAAAAAAAAATAATTAATAGAACCTTGCACTGAGAGACTTAAGCATCTGCTGAGCTCCATAGTAGTTTCCCTCTTTGATAACAGTGTCTAATTTGTCAATATTCTACAATCACGCCCAACATAAAGTTAATACAGGCACTGAAACCATTGATAATGATAGAGATTAAGCTTCCTACAGAAACAGTAGATGTTAATATTGGAACTCAAATCCAAGATTTATGATATAGGTCAAGCAGCCTACAGAACGAATCAATAGAGGAAACCATAAAATATAAAATAAATTTCTATTTTAAGAGAATATGTAACACTAAAATGAACCATGGTATAACCAGACTCGATTGCATCGTTTATTTACCTCCTGGGCAAGAGGTAGTATGGCTCGCTTGACCCTCTCCCGCAGCATACTAGGCATTCTCTGCACAGCTTCTGACCGCTAGGAAGGAATCTCGTGGAGGACACGGCGGAATATGTCTCTGCTTCGGCCGTACGAGATAGGGTGTTAAGGTAAGAAAGGTCGGAAGGGGTTGGCCGTTGGAGGGGCCGCCGGACTGGTCTATATGATACAGAATAAAGTGTTAGCTTAGTTCTGTTAGTTTCTGTTGGATGGTTAGCTGAGTTGGCAGTCTGTTAACGGACTAGTATGGTAAACTAGTTCATATAAATACTAGTTGTAACCATCTAAACATGTATGATTCATCCATTCAAGCATATTCTCTCTATTTCTCATTCTCTCTGTATGATTTTATATTGTTCTTCCCTCGATTACTGTTTCTTAATCTAGAGCCAAATCCTGAGACAGTATCATTGGTATCAGAGCCCAACGATTCTAAAACCAGCAAAGTTTATCGGAAAGATTGATCAAGCACGGAATTAAACTGGCACCAACAAAGAAGCAATTGACAGTAGCTCAACTGAAGATTCTAATGGAGGAACGTGTTGGCCTTCTGGAACAGAAGTTGGAGGAACAATCTCTAGTTCTTGGAGAAATTCTCAAGGTCTTGAATGACAAGAAGAAAAGAAAGGAAGAAAGCAATCACCGGATTTTATCCGATGACGAAGGAGATAAATCGCATCATGACTACATCGGCAAACAAGGGGAACCTAATTCAAGGAACTTTAATTTTTCTCCTAAATTAGAGTTTACTGTGTTTGATGGACGAAATCCGAAGATATGGATAAAGAAATGCTTGAAGTATTTTAACCTCTGCAAAGTAGAGTATAGTCAAAGAGTTTATTTGGCATGCATGTTTCTTAGTGGAAAGGCAGAGGATTGGTTTCATAACTATACTATTGGGAGGAATCAAGTAGTTTGGGATGAATTCATTATTGATCTGTGTGCTTAATGGATATCTAGAGTAGTAAAATAACATAAGTACAAATTATGAATAGAAAAAAAACATACAAGTCTTCAATGTTTATGTGTTGAATAGAAAAAAACATACAATTCATAATTCATACAATTCATAATTCATTATTCTTCAGTGTTGAATAGAAAAAAAAAACATACAATTCATAATTCATTATTATGGATCATGGCGTTTATGTGTTGATTACAGAGAGCTTAATAAGAAAACTGTTAAAGACAAATTTCCAATCCCTGTGGTTGATGAACTGATTGATGAATTGGCAGGATCTAAAGTGTTCTCTAAGCTGGTCTTAGAGCTGGTTATCATCAATTGAGAGTACATGAAAGTGATGTATTCAAAATTGCCTTCAAAACACATGAAGGCCATTATGAATTTCTGGTGATGCCCTTTGGTCTTACAAATGCACCAGCCTCTTTCCAAGCTTGGATGAATCATATTTTTAAACCATTGCTCAAAAATGTGTTTTGGTGTTCTTTGATGACATATTAATCTACAGTTCCTCACTGGAAGAACATATCAAGCATTTAGCTACTGTTTTTAAGTTGATGGAACAAGATTCTCTATATGCTAAGGCTAGTAAATGTGCATTTGCCATAGATAAAGTGGAATATTTAGGCCATTTCATTTCTGGGCAAGGAGTTTAGACTGATCCTAGTAAGATTCAAGCAATCAAGGAATGGCCAACACCACAAAATGTGAAAGAATTAAGGAGTTTCCTGGGGTTGGCTGGGTATTACAGGAAATTCATTAAAGGGCATGCTGCAATCAGTCAGCCATTGACTCAACTACTAAAAAAAGAAGGGTTTCGATGGACAAATGAAGCAATGGGATCCTTTCAAAATCTCAAAACAGCATTGTCTACAGCACCTGTGTTGAGCTTTGCCCAATTTTCAAAGGACTTTCATTATTGAAACTGGTGCCTCAAACACTGGGATTGGGGCAGTTTTAATGCAAGAGGATCATCCCCTAGCATTCATCAGTAAGTCTCTTGGTCCTAAATGGCAGAAGTTGTCAGTTTATGAGAAGGAACTATTAGCCATTGTATTTGTAGTATAGAAGTGGGAACAATATCTTACTGGACAACCCTTTGTAATAAAGAAAGATCAGAAAAGTTTGAAATGGCTTTTACAGCAAAAGATATCTACTCCATTCCAACAATTTTGGTTGTCCAAGTTGATGGGCTTTAACTATGAAATTCAGTACAAGGCTGGAAAGGAGAACAAAGTTGCTGATGCTTTATCCAGAATAGAAGGAAGTGAACTTTTATGTTTGGCTATCTCAGATATAAAATCTGATTTAGTTCAAAACAACAAGGGCAGTTACAATAAGGATGAGTTTCTATCCCAGTTGGAGCAAAGATTACATCAAAACGATGTTAATGCTTTGAAGTACCAAATTATGAATGGGTTAATTTGAAAGAAAGGAAGAATAGTGGTGGGGCCTAATGATGAACTAAGGGATTCTATTTTAAAATGGATGCATGGGTCAGCGGAAGGGGGACATTCTGGAAGAGATGCCACTTTGAAAAGAATGAAAAATATGTTTACTTGGAAGAGGATGAATAAGGATGTCAAATCTTTTATTCAAAACTGTATTATATGCCAAGCTAATAAGAATGATAATGCTGCCTATTCCTGGGTTATTACAACCCTTACCAATTCCAGAAGAAGTTTGGAAAGATGTCTCTATGGATTTCATCACAGGATTACCCAATTCTTATGGGAAAGAAGTAATATTTGTGGTGGTGGATAGACTCAGTAAGTATGCTCATTTCATGGAGCTTACTCATCCTTATTCTGCAAATGAAGTGGCACAATCTTATCTGGATCATGTGTTCAAATTACATGGATGGCCTAGAAGCATTATAAGTGATAGAGACAATATCTTTATAAGTCAACTCTGGCAAGCATTATTTTTGATACAGGGAACTGAGTTGAAACTATCTTCAACTTATCATTTTCAAACGGATGGACAAACGGAGGTAGTCAACATGGGTATGGAATCTTACCTAAGGTGTATGTGCAGTGAGAGACCTCAAGAATGGTCAAACTGGTTGCCCCTAGCTGAATGGTGGTATAATACAACCTATCATTCAGCAACCCAAATGACTCCTTATGAAGTTATTTATAATCAACCCCCTCCAGTACATCTACCTTATATATCTACCAGGGGAGACTTCAGTAGAGGTAGAAGACAGAACTATGCAAAGAAGAGAAAATATGATTCTATTACTCAAACAGCATTTATCTAAAGCCAAGCAGAGAATGAAGTAGCAAGCAGATAAAAGAAGATCTGAGAGGAGCTTTATGAAATGGGAATGGGTATGGAAAAAGTTACAGGCTTATAGGCAAACTTCTGTGCAGCAAAGATCAAACCAGAAGTTAGCCCCTAAATACTTTGAGCCATTTCAAATTGTTGACACAGTAGGAAAGGTGGCTTACAAGCTCAAGTTTCCAAAAGAAATTAAGATCCACAATGTTTTCCATGTGTCCCAGTTAAGGAAATTCAAAGGAAAATTGCCAGCAAATCCTTTCATTCCTCAATGCTACAAGGAAGAGATAGGGAGGATAGCCTACAACCAGAAGCTGTGTTGGATAGGAGATTTGTCAAAAGACAAAATGTGGCAGCTGTACAATATCTAATTCAGTGGAAAGGATGTGTTGTGGTTGATGCAACTTGGGAATTCTATGATTACATTGTAAAGGAATTTCATGAGTTTGTTGCAAAACTGAATAAGACTTGAGAGCAAGTCATTTGTCAAGAGGGAAGGATTGATACAGAATAAAGTGTTAGCTTAGTTCTGTTAGTTTCTGTTAGATGGTTAGCTGAGTTGGCAGTCTGTTAACGGACTAGTATTGTAAACTAGTTCATATAAATACTCGTTGTAACCATCTGAAGATGTATGATTCATCCATTCAAGCTTTGTCTCTCTATTTCTTAATCTCTCTGTATGATTTTATACTGTTCTTCTCTCGATTACTCTTTCTTAATATAGAGCCAAATCCTGAGACAGTATCATTATACCATAGTTTCCGGCTGGACTGCTGGAGGAAAGGTCTGGACAGGGACAACATCGATTGGGTGTGCTGAGTTTTTTTATTTAATGTGGCGACGTCGTGTCGAATGCTACGGAAATCAAGGGCCAATCAGGAGTTCAACTTGATGGGACACATTTTGATCCACTTCTACCAATAATCAATGGCCCACTTGATGGGATGAAATAATAAAAAGTACGTATGCCATAGAATTTCCCAATTTGTTCCCATTAAAACGAAATCATATTTAATGAACATGAATTTTGATTTAAAAAATTGTACTATCTTCTTTCTTTTTTATTTAATCATATTTGACTTTTTCAGTATATCTACGTAAAATTGCAGCAGCTTCTGCTTTAAAAAAGTGCTTTTTTTAATGAAATGAGGAGAAGTGATTATTTGTAAAACTGATAGTGTTTGGAAAAAAAGTGATTGTATAAAAAGTGTTGAAGTTGGAGTGTTTGGAAAAAAAGTGATTATTGATGTATGTTTTTATGAATGTACTAAAATGCCCCCTCTCTCTTTATACCTTTGGCCCGTCGTTATTTCCTTTCCTCTTTGTCCGCACGCAGCTATCTCCCAGCGAAAATGTCTGCTCCAAGAAGACGAGGTCAGCTAGGGTCGGCATACCAAGTTCATGCCAAACAAGGTAAGTTCACTCAGAAATTGCAGCTAGCTTCAATTTTCCCGTCTCGACTTCAGCTATGGATCTTCAACTACAGTTCGGTGGCTTCCCAACTTCTTTAGCAGCAGCGCAGATACACGGACAAAGATCGATTAAAACTTTAGGGTTGGGGAGCTTCATTCGTCGATGAGGGCGAGATGCATCGATTAGGGATGGCTGGCTATACGAATGATTCAGAGGAAAGAAGAAAAAAAGAGAAGGGCATTAATGAGATATAACAAATATGAATGATATAAATGCCCCCTACTTCTCAAGAATTACGAAATTACCAAAAGAATTGCTTCTGGCTTCTGGCTTTTGCCAACGGAAATGGAGTCTACTGCAAACACTTGTTTCCACTTCTGCTTTAAGAAAAGCCGAAAAGTGCTTTTCAGAAGCATTTGCAAACCAGGCTTAAGTTGCACTTTTCCCCCATTCCTTGATTTACATTTCATTAAAAAAGTTAAAAACATTATGTATATATTTGGAAAGCTCCTTACACAATTAAGTAGAACCATCTAATAATATCCCTACTTGCCTTTACAAGGGTTAGCACTTAGCAGCGCACTTAGAGCATCTCCAATGGTACAATGTGCACGGTGCACACGTGGCATAAGAGATAGTCACGTAAATATTAATTAGTAAATAAATTCATTCTCTCCTTATTTAAATGATTTTATACAGTATTGGTAAGTTTTTCTCCACAATGTCAATGAGACCGTTTAGATGTTGACATTGTTGTTGACATTGCAGGGAAAAACTTACCAAAATTGTATAAAATCATTCTAATAAGGAGAGAGATAATTTATTTGCTAATATTTATGTGGCTATCAATCATGTCACATGTGCACCGTGCACATTATAGCATTGGAAATGTTCTAATGTGAAGATGAATTTTAAGTTTGAGATTTAGTCTATGCGATATACGGAGTATATTTTAGTATGAAAAAGTGTAATAAACTAAAATGATATCCTTACTTTAAGGTATGATTAAAAAAAAGTTATATTTCATCAATTTTTTGCTTAAGGTATTTTTATAACGGTGCAAAAATGTTCTAGACATGTCCAGGTGTCATTGGTGGTATTCATTATCATGTTGCCCATTTGACATACAAAACGAAAAATATAAGCAATTCATGAAATCACACATTTTTGTTTGAATGAAAATGTAATCCATCTTACAATTTTAGAAAAATATCAGAAACTTGTACACACTGTTTAAAAATATGTCATAACAATATCATATTTACAAAAATATTATTTTAACATTGTGCAAATAAAAGCTTTCGTGCCTTGCGCGACCCACGCCAGTATCCTTATAAAAGTCACTAAAGGATTTTCGTTTCTTATTTATTGCTTGGAGACAATCTAATGTACTTTTATTAGTCATTACTATTAATAAAATAAAATGGGTTATGTTTTTACTTTTGGAGTTGATTATACAAATATTTAGAGAATAGTTTTAACGCAAATGACTTGTACTAATTAATCTCTCTTTCTATATAACTGATTTACCAGACTACATTATATGGATCATGGCCCCATGGGTTAATTTTAATGGTATGTGGATGAAACACGTAATAGGTCTGGTCAATTGGGTGATAAATGGAGAAATTAAAAAAACACAATTTACCGCTAACAAGCCAAAACCAAAATTAACACGTCGGAAACAGACCATAAATAATTATTCCAACACAAATGGTAAATTTTATTAAATGTTCTAACATATTCATCGTCTTGAACTCTTGATGGAATGTGTCATCACCGTATTTGACACATTTATGATATATGTGAGCTTCCAAATCAATTATTTATCAAAAAAAATTAAAAGATGTCATCACCAATATACAAACATAAAAGTGAAACCTAACAATCTATAATTAGTTCTTTAAAATTAAACTGTCAAGGTTAAAAAATTAAAACTTTTTATGAAGATGGGTTCATACACGCTACTTTTTTCTTGAGGACGAAGGGAATTTGAGAAACATATGAAAGTGTGAAACCATAATCCATACACGTTACTTTTTTCTTGAACACAAAAAAGTAGAGCGGTTCTTAAACTGGGTTCATGAAAAATGTAAAATGATAATTGAATTAGCGTCATTGTCTTCTGAGTTCCATCTTTACGACTTATGATTTTTAACTCCGATTTTATATTTTGAAATTTAGGATGGGTTGGTTCAACTGGGATATCGGTCTAAATGACATTAAAGTGCATATAGGACACTAATGTAAGGAATTACATTAAATTGGATACCTAATTGACATTCTAGCCACTCACTAATATAAGGAACAAACGGAGGTAACTTAATAGACGGCAACAACGAAATTTAGGTTGATATCATTGCTTGGAGGCTATTAATAATCACGAGGCAATTGACACCGATAACTAAATTAGAATTGATTTAAAATGAAGTAATTTTATATTCATATTCATAATATAATGGGAGTATAACTTTATTTATATTCTTTACCACCCGATAGATTATACCAATTAGCACTTTATATGACAATGAATTGGAGTAATGGTGGTTTTGCTAAATTTTATGAGCTTAAATAGGTGTGGGAAAGCGGGTACAAGAACCGCATGTCGAGTTGGGTAATGCATGTTTGAAGTGGATTTAAAAAAAATTAGGAATCGAACAGGTTTTAAAACATTTAGAAATCGAACGTATCTTAAAATTTGAATATTAAGTATATGGGCCAAATCATTTTAAAAACTAAGTATTATTTTAATAAACTTTTTTGTATTTAACACACACACATACACACACTAGTAAAAAGAGTTTCAAAGTCCCGTATAAACTCCTAAACTATTAATAAGAGTTTCAAAGTTCATAAAAACTCCTAAACTATTATCTCCAATTCTCTATTCCTTCTTTATTTGATTTTTTTTGTAAATAAAGACTCTTATTCAATGAAATGTGACATATTCATTTAATTATCTTAAATTAACTTACATTTTGAGATGTACTAATTAAGTCTTAAATTGTTCTATTAGACATATATGCAATATAACTATCTAGTTTAATTTCGTACGACTTTATATTATGGGTGCTAACTTTTTAGTTTATGGATGATAATGATGTCTAATTTTCTACACTTCAAAATTTGGTGTTATTTAATTTATGTGGTTGTGTGCTACTCATTGTATAAATTTGCGGTTAGATATTTTGTGAACTAATTCAAAATTTTGTTTTATATTTGTATTTTGAGGTTTTAGTGGTGACATCGACACTTAATTAGCTTGAGATTGTTATTATTCACTTAAGACTTCGTAATTGTACTTAAAAAAACGAAATTTGTTATACTGAACCGAACCAACTCGTAAAATGGAACCAACGATTCATGAAAATTTATCAATTACCCGGATCACTCCAGACTATGCTCACCCTCAAATTGCATTAGGATAAAAAGAGTTCATGGCTCAAGAAACCATTTCAATAGACACATGCTCCTTTACGTTATTACGTTTCTAGCTTTGGGGCTTGGCCCAAGCATTCCCATAATCTTAAGGATTTTGAAATACATCCCCAAATTTTAAAAATATGGAGATGTAACATGAGGAAACAAATTCGAGGTCTAGTATCATAAATAAATAATATAAGGAGCGCCGTTTTAATGGGTTTGAAGTCTTCCATTAGTGGGTGGCAAGAATGCCTATTATGTATTGAATTTAATGCTATTTGCACCTAATAAAATGTTAGTGTCCTATTTGCACTTTTACTACTACCATAATGGGTGATTTGCCCCTTTTCCCCTTTTTTGTTTCTTGATTCAATTTCACCAAAATTTAACAATTTTAACTCAAAATGGTTTTCTGATCTGAGATTGTAAAATCGCACCATTTTACAATCCACATCATGATTTTGATAGCCTTAGTCTTATGTTTGACATTTAACTTGCCCATTGAAGTGTAGCTGCAATTTTTAATATATTACGAGTAGCATTTTTAAATCCTGAAATTCTTCCCAACAAGCAATTCAGTGACAAAAAAAAGTCACTATGCAACAACACACCATTAGAATTTAGAAATATAAAGGACACCAAGTACTAACCTTCACAAGCAAGAACAAAAATCCAGGAGATATACAACAGATGTTAATTGAGATCCTCTCTCTAAAGCTACATATGGCCATATGGGACTTTGATAAAATTGCAAGTGTAATGCTCTGTATTTGCTTTTTCTTTGTAAGGTTCTATTAACCCTCAGTTTGCATGATTGGTTTACAAACGCACACTACAGCTACTATCTTCGGTGTATCGACTAGTCTCCTCTGCCACTTTTGCCCATTCTTTCCCAATTTTTTCCGAGGAATCAACCTTCAATGTCACAGCAAATTAAATTTCATTAGCAAAATTGCACTAATGGCTTCTGATGATGAAGAGCCTTACCAGCCATGTTTTTCACTAAGCATTAACTTTTTTTTTTCAAAAACACTAACATTTCCGCATTTGATGCATTCTGATAGTGGATAAAATAGTCCCAGAGCTCAAGTGCTCAAGTGCTTCAAATAGCTAAGCAAGTTTCCAATCTAGATACTACATTACCTTGAGGTGCTTCTATCTAAAGACTGCTGAGTACCCAGCATGGGAGGACGTTCATATTTCAAAACCATTGAGAAATATGAAAACAAAATTACCTGGCTAATCACAAAACCTTTCAACATATTTATGAAGTCATTGCGCCTTTCTCGATCCAGTCTTTCTATTTCACTTCTGTTATTTTCCTGCAGTCCCACAAATAATGATTATATGAAAGTATAAAAAGGTGAACAGAACAGCAGATGCGTTTAAGCACAAGAATCTGTATATTAACACGATGTGGTGCATACTTTTCTAATACCAGCCCGCCAGCATACCTTGATCTCTTCATAGTGTTTCATTGCACGGATTTTAGCATCTTCTGTAGCTCTTATAGCATCCTTCAATTCATCCAGTTTTTGAATCTTTGACCTTTCGCCTCCAAATTTTTTGGGTGATGTTGTTTGAAGTTTCTCAGCCTTCGAATTTAGATTGGATAAGTCTGATAAAAGGGTCTGTACTGTAAGTAGAGCACTTGAGCGATCAGAGAATGCACCATGGACTGCCAACATTATCCCCATATGCTCATGTAGCACATCCTGCAAAAAGGGTATTATATCACATTAGACCATTAAGATTCAGACAGATCAGCAGAATGACTGCACCAGAAAGGTTCAGACCAGACCAACTAGACCAAAAAATTCAGATCAGACCCGATGTAATATTCTCAATAAGAAAATTACATGAGACCAGAAACTTGCAGATCAGAGAGTCACCCAGATAAGACTAGACAGGAAGATTTAAACCAGACCAGACCTTAAAAATATTGTCAGATTTATTATGCTAAGAGAATATACTCTTAGAGTTTTTACTCACTTGTGTTGTTAGAGAATGTTCAAGGAACAACTTCCAATTCCAAATTGCATTTATTTACAAATATGAGACTATTTTTATCATCAAAGGACTCATAATCATATGGCCGAAGTCTTGCCAAATACATATATAAGGAAGAATCTAGTTACCAAATGCTTCACGGTCTTTGCATTTAGTTCTTGGTACAACCTGCTCACTTTGACAGCCGTAGTTGCCACTTTTTTCATATCCACGGCTCTTTGTTTCTGAGTGTTCAACACTGCCCTCTCATTCTCAAATTTCGTCAATTTGAAGAACGCTAGCCCTAATTGTCCCATAGTCTCTGACAGATCTTGTTGACCCTTAACAAGCAATTCAGCCTAAATTGAATAAAAGTAATCAGATTTCAATGATAAATACTTCAATCCAGGAAAACAATCTGTTATGGAATATGTTTTCCTGGAAAATAAGTTGCCGCACACATAGAAAATGACTTCCTGTTCTCAAAACGAAAACATTTCCCGCAAAAGTCCAATATGTTTGGATTTTGAAACTGCTAGGAGAGGGCGAAATGCTACTCGGAGTCTCGGACGGTAATTTTCTTACATTTGGTTTAATCTTGGAACATGTAGGGAGAAATGAAAAAGATTAAATTTTGAATTTTTTTGTAACATAGGTTTATATTTCACATTGTTTATTTAATAGAAAAAAAATGAAATGAGTTTATGGCCTTCATGCAAATATCTAGGTTCTAGACAATCTTTTGTTTTTGTCAAAATTTCCTTGCAATTTTGCAATATGTTTTGATCCCTATTTCCTTTCTCAGCAGTTACTGCATTCCAAGCTGACTCTAGAGAACCATGGAATAAATTTTCCTTTAAATGCCAGGCACTGCACAAAATTACATCTTTTCTGGGAAACGTTTTATGTGCCAAACTCAGGAAACCCAAAAGACATTATTCTTGAAAGTAGATATTTGCCTGCTAACAAATGGAGCCTATGCAGCAAAATTTAATTTCATTAAATCACAAAAATACCCAATAAATTATGGCAAGCAGCATTTACTATGCGTCTATGCTAGATATGCATTAATTAAATATAAATTGAAAAAGAAACCTGCTTTGATGCAGAGGTAAGGTGTTGCTCGAGTTCATGGAATCTCTCTTTTTTCTCCAAAAACTGCTGATCAACATCCCCTTCCACCAGCACCCTCGATCCACCCCCCCAATCATTAACAACTGACTGTTTCAGTTCCTTAAACAATCTCAGATAATCCCTACCCCCTTTTACAGGCTGCACGGCATCCTGTGGCTGAACCCCTGCATTCCTAGAGTCCTTACACAATTGCTTCGGGAAAGGAAGCTTCCCTTCAACCTGCAAGAACGCTCTCAACTCATCACTCTTCCTGATCACAGGATGTTCTGAAAGCTTCTTCAAGTATCTCTCCAATGCCACTCTCCTTTGTTCCACAAATTCTTGTTTTTGCATCACTTGACTTTCCACTATGCTCTTTTCTGGCCTCGGAGGAACAAAAAACCCTCTGTAAGCCTCGGTCAACTCATCCGCCAACAATACTACGTCTTTGAATCGCCTCCGTACACTGAATTCGGATCCGCCGTACTCCGGCATGTTGGTTTTGGTTGTAATCGAATAGGTAACGAAAGTATTGCCTCCAGGAACAATTGAATTCGAGGACTCCGCCTCTTTTTTAGGATTGGAAACCACAATATTCAAATACTCAGAGCTCGAGGAAGGAGATCTTGGGGCCATTGAGGACTTTCCGTAGTCTCTGACAGGGCTGTGTCTGCCATTTGCTTCTTCGCCGGAGCTCTCACGTTGATCGGGGGTGTTAAACACCACATCAGCATAAGATGGAGGTTGTGCATAAGTCCTTCGCGGAGAATTTGATCCTCCGAGCGGGGAGAGGAGCGGATCAGAGTCGACAGGAGAGGCGACGATCGACGGCAATAGGGGATGATGGGAGTTGGAAAGCATTGACATGGCACTCCGGTAACTAGCGTAGGGTTTGGAGTTGAAATCTTCTCCATCGTCGAGTGTCAAGCTCTCCATTGAAGCTGATCTTCGTGCTTGGATGTGGGCTTCACTCAGCTAATCTTCGTCGAGCCCATCATCTTTTTCAAATTAAATAAAATAAAATAAATTATTAAATTAACGAAAAAATTGCATCCATATTACTCGTAATATTTTCAATTTTTTTTATGGAAATCGGCATATATTAATAACCAATAAAAGTTGGGAGTATGAGTCAACTGACAAATAGAGAATTGATAATTGTCATCCCTCGAATCAGACTCGGAATTAATCGCCGTAACAATGTAATTCGCTGATCCATAACCGGGAAACAATAAGCCTACTTCGGTTACCAATTTTCCTTCATCCCCTACATCTGAAACCAAAGTCTTACAAACCAACATTAAACCAACAATAAAATCTAAAAGTAATTAAACAGCAAACAAAACAGGATAAAAAGCATTCTTCATACTGCCAGACAACTAGGACCCATCCATCAGCATTCAGCCTCACACCTTCAACCAGTGTATTCGGCGGGATTAAGGGACTAAGCCCGCTGCCTCCCCGTTTTTTGTCCCATCTGTGGCCATGTTATCCTCCTCTTGATCTTTCTCTGCCTGAACCTCCCAGATCTTCCTTCTCTTGGAAGCTTCTTCTTTTGGCATCCCACCTTCTTGTGTGAAGCTCTGGGCCGAGTCTACCTGTGCCTCCTTTTCTGGATCCGCCCCCATTCTGCCAGAGCTCAATGAATCTCCAGGAGCCTACCTTGCCCTCTTGTAGGGCTGGTCTTCACACCGCTACCTGCTCTAAGATAGGATCCATATCTTTTTTCCAAGACTAAATCTTCGTCATAATTCAAGGGGCAAAAATTACCTGAATGACCAACCATACCACAGATAAAATAAAAGGTGGGTAGTCTTTCATATTTAAAATCTACCCAAAAACTTTTGCCATCTTTTTTCAAAATTTGTCCCCTTCTTCAATGGTTTGTCCATCTTCATAACAACCCTAACTCGCATATAAGGCTCAAGTTTTTCTTTCCTTTGATGATCATCATATTTAACAAATTCCCCTAAAAAGCTCCCAACCTGTCTAGCAGTACCCAGATTTACCAGACTGTAAGGAACATTATGAATCTGGACCCAAAATTTTGCCTCATTCAGAACAATTTTATGTGGTATATCATCAGGCATAATCTCTTTAAGCAAGATCAAACTACGTTCAAACTACCAAGGGCCCCCATCCAAAACCCTTTTCATATCAAAACAATGATTAAAAGAAAACAGATACCTCTTTTCTCCAATTTCCTTAACGTCATACCTTTCCCGGGCCTCCAGAGAGCAAGTAGCTTTTCTTTGATCTCCACGAACCGGACCTGTCGATCAGTCAACACCTGCCCAAGAACCGGGAAACCCACAGCCGCCGCCTCCGCCGGGACATCATCGTCGGCCTCGCCATCATCGAGATTGATCTCCTCCTCTTCACCTCTGATCGCCATCTGCTTATATCTATCAACAACACTTTCCATAGATGAAGCCTACTCCGTCGCCTGCTATTACCGAAACCTCCAAGTAAAATAGCCACAGCCCACCGCCTTCACGCCCAATCCACACCCACCGTGATTCTACCCAATCCCCGTTACCGCCCCTCACCGCCCAAACTAACTCATGGCAAACTCGCACTTCGATAAACGAAGGCGGACAAAACTCAACGTACGTAGGGTTATCGGACGATAACCCTCTCGTAATATTTTCAATTAAAAAACTCACTCTTTTCAGTTTTTTTAAATGACTCATCAAATCAATCACAAAAAATTGCATCAATAATGTACACTAAATTTATTGTTTAAGTATTAAATTTACTAATAAAAGGTAATTAATGTCACTTTGCGCCCCTCACCGACCTAGCGATGCCCTACTGTCCCACCCACAACGGTAGACTCTGTAGCAATTGTCACCTACGATAGTGACCATCATTTGAAGTTACAAACAAATCTCTCTTAGTCACTCAGCCCCAATTTTAATGATCATCACCGGTCGTTGCTATCAATGTCTAGTGATTTTGTCTTAACTTTAACCAAATTAGCCACAAACTCTAGGATCTTATTGCAGACCCGCAGTCATAGGAGATTAGGAACTTTAGCAGCCTTTACCATAAATGAACTCTTACCACAATCACTAAAACCCTAATGAGTCACTGAAACTCTAGCCGCCGTACGTACTTGAAACCTTAGCAGCAGTCTTGCACCGATACTTCACCTCGATGCCGTATCCGCGTATCTCATACGTATCCGATACCGATACCCCGATGCGTATCCTTTGTAAATTGTCGTATCGCCGTACCCGTATTCGCGTATCGACGTATCCGCGTATCCGTGTCCGTGCAACATAGCTTAGCAGTCTTTAGGAGCATCTTCAATACTCTTTTTTTTGAAAGAAGATAAATTTTGATAAATGTCAAATAAAAGAAAATATTGTATATTCACATCAAATACAAATTAGGCTAAAGGGTCAAATAGGTACATGAACTAATTTAAAGTGTTCAATTAGCCCCTTATATAGGAGGTTCTGCCCGGCCATCGCCAATTGGGGCGGTTCCCGGTGTAATTTTTTGATGAAATTTTTTGAGCATCTTCTTCATTAAGTCTAGTTTACCCATATCAAATTTCAGCTAAAAATTAAATCGGGAAGGCAGTCAAATGATTTTCCGAAATGTACTGCGTTGTTTAACTGCGTAGTTATCTTCACAAAATCATTTGACTGCCTTCCCGGTTGAAATTTTAGCTCAAATTTGGTATGGGTAAACTAGACTTAATGAAGAAGATGCTCAAAAAATTTCATCAAAAAATTCCACCGGGAACTGCTCCAATTGGCGACGGCCGGGCAGAACCTCCTATATAAGGGGCTAATTGAACACTTGAAGTTAGTTCATGTACCTATTTGACCCTTTAGCCTACAAATTAAAAAGATACCTTTAATGAAAAATGTTAATAGCACTAGTAGAAAAAGGGCTTACAGTGACACTAATTTAGTGTCGCTGAAAGTTTCTGCGACACTAAAAAAGTGTCGGGAAAAGTGGCGGCTAGTGACACTAAATATAGTGTCACTGATCGTAAAACATAATAGTGTCAGTAAATTGTGACACATTAATGTAATACAAGATTGTGACACATTGGTATCGTAAAAATTTGTGACACTTTGGTATCATGAAAAAGACGACATATTGGTGTCATATAAATATGATAATAATATTAAAATAATCATTATATTATTTGTTACTGTTTCAATGAAAGATTACAAAAATAATGATAAATAATCAAAATAAAAGATCAACGCTTTATTTATTACTCAAGTTATTTTACAGTGTCAATACCAATAAAGTGTACTACAATATGCTATATAAATCTACACTTAAACCATACAAGATTTTTATTTGTACACGCTAGACATCATTATTCCTGACATCACCATCGGCATCCAATAAAGCAAGTCTTTATCAATATCTGATTACGCCAAACTGCCCCCAACCTAATTGCCCTCCAAGAACATACTGTTCTTTAAGGTCAGCGATGTGATTTGCCCCCAATATTGTTTCATCCAAATTGGCAACTTTATGGCAATTGCTTGGACAAGATGATGATGATTCAGTGTTCTTGTTGCTCTTGGCAACAACCATACGAAGACTGAGGTTATAAATGAAGACCCATTTTGGGGATTGAGGTTAGAAGTATTAATCACCGTTCTTCTCCTCCACTCAAGACATTTCAAAACCTGCCATACAAAAAAAAATCCAACAAAAATTTTATGATACGCACATATTGGGACTTTACTCATATTGGGACTTTACTAGATCGCTATGTTATCAATATTCTGAATGTAAAGCATAAAAAATGTGAGGGACAAGGAATCCAACAAAAAACTTATGATTGACAAGACATAAATTCATCTTTACAAACAAGCTTCATTGCCTCACAAAATGCAACAAACTCCTTTAGTGTGAAACCAATCAGAGAATTTGTTCATGATACATATTTACACACCAAGATAACATGGCACCTGTAGTTATTCAATAACGAGCATTCAAATACCACAATTACCTAACAAATATTGGGTCATGCTCAATGACCCAAAATAGTAGCATACAAAGAATGTGGAAACGCCAATATCATCCTGGATTTACTATAAATTAAACACCGGTTCATTACACAGAAACAACCTGCCATATTTATTCAAAGTAAATGAACCTGCCATGAGTTAAGGTTGTGAATATAATCTTTTGAGACCTGCCATGATTCAACTTTTAGTACTCTTGATTCAAAAGTATTAGAGAGAACAACCTATCATGAGTTAAGGTTCTCAAGCAACACCCTCTGTCTCTTTGTATTCTCACTTTTAGGAAAAAGACATGACTACTGTAAATAAAGATTAAAGAAGATATCAGTGGCAGATAATAGTATCAGACACCCTATTAATAAAATCTCACACTCTAATGCCTCATTCCTTATCTTTCACTTTATGGGTTAGATCATGACCTGAAAAAGTTAGAAACTGTAAAGAAATTTATACACACACGCACGCACGCACGCACGCACGCACGCGCGCGCACACACACACACACATGGCATATAAGGAACACTAAGTAGAAACTGTAAACCATGGCATATAACTGTAAAGTTATATACAATACTAGTTTCACTTAGGCAGATAGTTTTTATTATTAAAAATAAAAACAATGCAGTTATACATCAACCACAGAATTATTATTCACCCAATTAAATTGTCTCTTGACTTATGATAATTAAACCACACATAATCCGACCATTCGGCTTATATATTTGGAAAAATATATCATGTCACTTTATATGACACTTGAACAGTATAATGTTCCTTGTCACAAAATAATTATAATTAATCATGAGACTATTAATTTTCTAATCGGACAATAAAATTCAATATATTAATACATCACTTTACAACTTTGCAACTATGGATTCTAGTCATTAAATGAAATATATCCAAATATGTAAATTGTTCTTTGATGTATTTAAGGCTTCTTCAATTCATATTTTACACAATTGATGTCTTAGGGTCCGAACACGAGACCT